GCCTATTGTGAGGAACCTGCAGACCGATCCTGCCTCTGAACCAGGTTACACTCTAGTTTCAGGTCTGTTGTACACTTGCAGCAGAGGTGAGGAACATATGTGCATTCCTCAGGATCGCAAGCTTAGACAACTCTTTATGTCAGGGTGTCATGATGCTCATGGTAATTTTGGAGCCCTCAAATCTTATGCGGCCCTGTCGCAGAGGTTCTTCTGGAAAGAGACGAGGAGTGACCTGTTGAGCTCGTACACAGACCTCCCCTTGGCCTACTCAAACCACTTCCCATTCCTGAGGCACCTGCAACAATCAGTGTCTATTGACTTTATTGATCTCAGTAGGACCACCCCTCGTGGTATGCGTCAGGTTATGGTTTGCGTGGACATGTTATCCAAGTATGCAGAATTCATCCCTTTGCCAGGAGAAGCCAGAATCCCTGCCATCCAGGCGGCATTTGATGATAGTTGGGTCACACACCATGGACCACCCACCTCCATTGTCAGTGATCGAGATCCCCACTTTTGCAGCCATGAATGGCAGTCCTACTGTGAGGACTACCTTCATTCACACTTGGACATGACGTCTGGTCGTCATCCCGAAGCCAATGGACAGGCTGAAGTGATGAACCAGATTCTGTTTCAGCTGTTGCGTCCTGTGATCAGCCCAGATCAGTAGGACTGGGATCTGCATCTGAGTCGTGCACAGCTAGTATACGACACGTCTGTCCACTCCTCCACTGGTTTCGCACCCTACAGGTTACACTGGGGCCGTGAACCTCGGCAGCCTCTCGATGATATCATCAACAAGGCTACCCCTACACTGACGCCTGGACCACAGAGTTCACCAGACGTTATCGTGTGGATATAGAGTGCACTCGTGCCAACCTGCTGAAGGCCCAAAAGGCTATGATTCAACAGGCTAATAGGCACTGCCGCCCGTCTACTATTCGCACAGGCGACTGGTTTCTGGTGCTCAGTTCTGTTGCCGCAATACATGGGTCCATGACAGGTCTTAGATACAGTGGGAGTTGATCCTTTCGGACCGTCTTGACGTCCCTCTGCATTTACAAACCTATCCGGTCTTCCATGCATCTAAGCTGTTGCCTTTTACCTCAGCTGATGCATTTCAGGACAGACCCCCTCAATACGGTCCACCGATCCCTGGCAAGGAATATGAAGTGGAATCGATTGAGGATGAGGTGGGCACAGACCCAGACATGCAGTATCTTGTGAAGTTCCTGTGCCAGTCTCACACTGAAGATCGCTGGTTTACACGCAGGGAACTCCTCAAGACAGCAAAGTTCGCTGTCCTCAAGTACGAGGCAGCTAAGAGGGGACAATACCCTCGACGCTCAGCACGCCTGCACTCCTAGCTCGGAGGTCCTCGCTCTTGGGGAGGGTAGGTCTGCAATGACTTGCTGATTCTGCAGCCTGCGGCCCGTTCACCCGAGGCTGTAACATAGGTAGGTTAGATTTGTTATTTTGTTTGGCTGAGGGCTAACCGAGATATCTGACTCTGAGGAAAGTCCGTGAGGGACATATCTGTAAATTTGGGAAAATTGCAGGCCCAGACTAACTCGAATTTCCTAAAGCTACCCTAACTGCGAATAGCAGGCCCGGGCTACCACTAGGACAGACAGGCCATGAGGCCTATGCTGTTAGACGGTTGCTATAGCCTATAGCCGGGTAGGGGAAGGCCCTAGAGGCCGAAACAGAATCGGTACCGGCTGGTCCAGTCAGTCCGGTCTGGGTCGAGACTCGGCTAGGGTAGTTCTATTAATAGATTGTAGGAGTCTGTTCAGTGCTTTTGGCAGTTGAGTACCATGCACATTGCAACGACGCAACGCGTGAACTGGAGTGGGGACAGTTTCAGCGTTGGGGGAGACAGACATAGCCGGACCTTCGAAGCGTCGGCCATAGCTGGGACCTGCGCTGTTCTCTGACAGCATGCGAGGCTGTTCAGAGGTCCAGGCTATCTGAAGTCTGCTGGAGGCAAGAGAAGTTGGTGCCCTGCTGAACCCTCCTCAGGAGTAGGGTATTAGGGAGTGGCGCGGCTGCAGCTTTCATCCTCAGAGATCATCTTTGTCAGGAGAGATGGCGCTGCTGCAGATTTCCATCCGGGAAGTCTTCTGGCACTTCATCATCATCAGAGACTGTGGTGCTGGTCTTCTTCTTCATCCTCTGAGAGGCGCTTGGCGTCAGAGGTCTGTTTCAGGGTGGCGCTTCCCTCTGGAGGCAGTATTTGGGTGGTGCTGGTTGTTTCAGGGACTCAGGGGTAGTGATAGCAGTTACTCAGGGTTGGGGGAAGAAGCGCTGCTCATTTCTGAGCAGCGCATCTCAGTTCTGGGGTTATTCTGGCAGATCGAGACTCTGAGTTTAATAAACAATGTTGATACTATGGGTGAACTATCTTTGCTTCATTGTTTCCTGGATGTGATCTACTCGACTTTCCTTTGTGACTGGTTGTGAGGATTCTGTAGAGTGAATTGCACTTTCAGTGTACTTGGTCATATTGCATGGCTAAGTCTTCCACTTTGTTTCTCTCTCCCCGTGCGTTGTGATACTCCCATCCTCTCCTCTTCCTTCTGTGTATGTATGGGCATACCTGGAAGTCTATGTGAGCGAGTGTTGGTCTTCTGACAACAAGCAACCAGGTTCATAACAATAGCTTACCTGGTGTGAGAGAAGACTGGCAGCCACAGCTGCTGAGACATTGAAGAACCCGCTGCTGCAGTGTGATTGGGCACGGCTATAGCCCGTCCCAATCACAGGAAATTCGAAATAAACGAATGAGCTTTAATTGCCCCAGCGGGAAATGAGCCCCAAGCCTCACTCAGGGATGGGCGCCGTCACCCGCTGGTGCAGTGTGTTTGGTGGCGTCTATAGCCCGCCCCAGTCACAGGGAAGTCAATCATTTTTTATTGGCGCAGGGGGAAGTGAGCCCCAGCCTTTGCTCAGGGTTGAGTGGTGTTGCCTGCAGTTGCCTGCTGCTGCAGTGTGATTGGGCGGTGATTGGGCTTGGCCATAGCCCACCCAATCACAGGAAATTCAAAATGAATAATTTGACTCTGCCTTCACTCAGGGCTGGGGCCTTTGCCTGGTGCTGTTATAGCCTGCGCCAATCACAGGAAATTCGAAATAAAAATTAATACATAAATTACCTCTGATTGGGACAGCAGGAGGTTAGCTCCATTTTTCACTCAGGGTTGGGCGGCATCACCCGCCGCTGCAGCGTGTCTGGGCACAGTCATAGCCCGCACCAATCATAGGAAACTCCACCAGCATCTGATAACATGAGTGCTCTCTCTCTCTCTCTCTCTCTCTCTCTCTCTCTCTCTCTCTCTCTCTCT